TAGGTTTGATATCGCCCAAACTCGTGTCATACACATTCTCAAAGGGACTTGAGTAAAGTCGTTCTTTTCATGGCGACGTTTCCTCTTTACTATCGCTGCACACGCCCGCATGCTAGACCTGGACATGGTCTAAACTCAGGCTTACTCCACTTTATAAGGAATGACATCCTTAGACACATATTCAACTGATTTTGTTGCAAACCTTAACTACCAGTTCTTATAGACACCGAGAATGACTGGATTTCGATTCATATTTTGAGATAGCATTCATATGAAATAAAGGTCTCTTTCATCATTTCTTGATGAAATGAAATGGATTGATCTTCTTTTTTTCAACTTATTGCTGCTGTAATGACGAACCCACTTCGTCAAAAGTCATCTGCTCGAATTGTCATGATGTCTTCCAGCTTTGAGCCATTAAATTGGTACATTTCCAGACCCATCACCGGCATCTCATTCGTCATTGTCAGTAAGTTCAGCCAATCTTGGCCCCAAACTACAGTTCGTCAAGAAAGACAAGTCAAGTCAATCCTTTGGCCGACCTCTCTTCGATGAGGTGTAGTCTAGTGCCGAGAACGACAAGACGCACTGACGAGGCCAATTACGATCTTGGCGAATGGCCGGCAACAGGTAAAGTCGTGTATAAGAAGGGTTTCGAGAATACCATCTCAAATAGCAAACCAAGTTCACGGTATGAGGCAGGAAAGTATCATGACTTCTCGGGCAAAACGAGTTCAAACCATTTATCTCAGTTTTTAATAGACATCACCTAAAAAATATATTGTTCTAGCATTACTGATAGTCTCTCAAATAAAAGCTAAACAATAAAGGATTTTTCGTATATAATTATAGTTTCGCAACTACTAGTAAATCAGTAGTATGATGCTATGAATGAAGCTGACGTTTAGCTGTACATTTCACATAGTCGATTATTAAAACAAAGCTGTGTGAAAGTCAATGGAAGCATCACACAAGTGATTGTGTGAAAATTCTACTACCAGTCCTACATAACGTAAAACGAGATTGGGTGAATACATCTCATATACTGTCGTATTTATCCACAGTCAGAACTCTTACCGATCCAACTGCAGTAAAGTAGAAATTGTACTACTGACTGACTACTTAAATAATTAATTGGCCTTCGGAAAATGTCCTGCCTAACGTCCTCGCATCCCTCTCTAGTCCTTTTCGCATAATAATGCTAACAATGGTGATAGTAATAATGTTGATGATGATGATTATGATGATGATGATGATGTTGATAATAATAATAATAGTAAAGAGCAGCAGAAGCAACAGGACCGCCACTGTCATTGCAAATGTCGTGTAGACAGCCTCAGAGAAACGAGATGAGAAAATGTTGGCCTCGCGGTTGGGAAGCCGAATCGGCTGAAAGAGACTCGAAGGGGCCTGACCGGATCGTGGTCGTCAAGACGAAATGGGTTGTACGGCCTCGTTAAAGACAAGAAGCCGCGGACGTGGCCAAGTCGGAGGCCTGCTTCTCTGCCCCTCATCTCCAGCCCTCTTCGGCTTCATCCTTTGCTCGTTCGTCCCTCCACATCCCATTCGCTCTCTTCTGTCCAGCCTCGTTGGGTTTTGGGTCTTTTGCTCCCTTTTTTCAATCGCTCCCTCTTATCCACTTGCCGGTCAGTCACTTGGACCGGACCTCGAGACCCCACCGGCCATCGTCACGCCAGTTTGATTGGTGCACAAACGTTGGACAACCGGAGACACTCATATACATATGCATACACACATGCACAAACGTTAGCGGCAGCAAGAGTAGTAGTAGCAACAGAAAGAGGTGAGGCTGTCGGTAAGTGGGAGGTTGTGCGGAAAGTGAGCTCGAATGCCGAAGGGACAGGCCCTCGAAGTGGCGCGGTCTCCGATTTCTCCGCCAGCTGGCCAGCCTCTTCACGGTTGACTGCCTCCAAGCGGCCGGCGGTTGCAACAGGTGACTCGGTGCTGGCGGGCTGAGTGGGTAGTTGGGTGTGTGGCTGGGTGGATGGGTGGATGGACAAGTGGGTGGAAAAGTGGGTGGAAGGATGTGCGGAAGAGTTTTGTTGGGGTGGGAGGCGATTTGGGCCGAAGGGATGGTGGAAATAACCGTTTTTGCGAGGCTCGCATCACAACGGGGCTTGCCGCGGACGTTGCGGTTCGCCATTCAAAATCTCTGCGGGCCCCACGTGGTCATGGCCGGTAGAGACCGGCCTGTACGTCTCGGGAACAAGTCGACTCAGCAACAGCTTGACGATCACGGCCGCATCCTTGTCCGAAACCAAATCTGATTTCGTGATAGTGATGACGATGGTGATGGGGATGGTGATGGTGTTTAATGATGATATTGATGGTGAAGTTGAGGATGATGTTGATGGTGATGGTGATGTTAATGATGATGTTGATAGTGATGTTAATGATGACGGTGATGTTGATGATGATGGCGATGGCGATGTTGATGGTGCTTAATGGTGATGGTGATGGTGAAGTTGATGTTGATGATGATGTTGATGGTGATGTTAATTATGATGTTGATGGTGATGTTAATGATGACGGTGATGTTGATGATGACGGTGATGTTAATTATGATGGTGATGTTGAAGTTAATGATGACGTTGATGTTGATGATGATTGTGATGATAAAGTTGATAATGATGGTGATTTCGATGGTGATGTTAATTATGCTGTTGATTGTGCTTAATGATGATAGTGACGATTAAGTTGATGATGGTGGTGATGTTGATGGTGATGTTAATTATGATGTTGATTGTGATGGTAATGGTGATGGTAATGGTGATGGTGATGGTGATGGTGATTAATCATGATAGTGATGGTGACGTTGATGATGATGTTGATGATGATGTTAAAAATTGTAATAGTAAAGGCATGATAGGATGCTACCGCAAACGCGAATAACCCAGGGCAGAAGGGGAGATACCACAATTGTTTAGCACAAGTCTGGTCAAAGGATCGG